TATAATGATTGGCTTTTAGTCGTTGTAGATGGAAGACTATGGTTTCTAGAACCTGTTGGTGGATTTGCCTAGTGATAGCAGTAATCTGGAAATTTAGGGTATTAAGTGGAATTGTTTTCTCAAGTAAGATGCTCTACGTATTAACAATCCCCTGGTCATTGGTTTGTGGGCCCCCTATATGGCTTGGGGAGACATGTCAGGTGTTTAATTTTCAGTGAAATAATGGTTTATGGATTGACGCAAGTCCTGAGTGAAGGAGCTTCAGTGTCTATGTTCATAACTGAATATGTATTGTGTACCGCAGAGTAATATGTATAAGACCTTTCTGTCACATGGTGGAGCCTCCACACATCGCAATAGTGAAATCAAGTAAGTTGTTTTTGTATCGATGTACACTGACATCGGAGAGATTTATATCAGGCTCTTTTTTGGGAGAGGGTTATGTCTACTTTGGTGTCATGGATGTCAATCCTCTTACATTAAATTTACAGATTTTTATGGAGGTCTTAATGTTGTGAGTGTATTAAGGGAAGAGAAGGCCTTTCCAAGCTCCATCAAGCCAGGCATTTCATCCCATACAGATAGAGAGGACAACCCCTTCAGCTCTTGGTGTGTTTGGATGAGGTTTGTAAAGAAAATGGAGCCACCTACTAGGCTCATTAAAGTAAAGCAATACATACAAATATATCAGTAACAGTATCTGTTGTAGACATGAGTTTCAAAGCAGTGGTAAAAAAAGTATAACAAAATTCAGAAAAGAAAATAAGAAAAACCAATGTGCCAAATTTGTGGCTAGGCACAATGGGAGTTGCAACACATGCCTCAACTACAATGCAGACTTACAGACCTAAGCGTGTTTCAGGGAAAATCTAATGAATTTAACAAGGCATTTTTATAACATATGCAAGATGGTGCAAAACATTAAAACCAAGTGAAGTGTGCCGCAGGCCTATACTGTGCCCTTGGGAATCGTTGGCCCTTTTCCACTAAGGAGAGAGTCTCAAAATTTCATAGGAGTTTCTAGGAAATGGAGGCAGTTCCATTTCCCAGGTATAGAGAACCTGTTCTCCCTCCTCTGAAGTTGTGATAGTGTTTGTTATACCATTTCGATGTACCAGCAGTTGAACCAGGTAACCCCAACGGTAGGCAAGGTGGTGTTATCGTAGTTGTTCTGTGATTGTGTGGAAAGCTCTTCTTATCTTAAAAGTGGAGGCAGAGACATCTACAAACAGTTGGATGGTATTGTATTGGGCAGTATTGGGCATTCAGACAATGATGTCTCTTGGTGTCGATGGAGCCAGGAAAATAGGCGTCCTGTGGATGCGATCTACAAGGAAGAGATCCCTGGGTATGTCAGGCGCCAGAGTGTGAAAGAAAAGGCAAGTGGTTGGTTAAATTTTTGGCGAACTATGTTTGGGAATTGGAAATGATGCGCAATCTCCCTATTTGGAAGTGGAATGGAAAAAATGTTAGCAAAACTATCACGCAATAGTATAGCGTCTTCCTGGTTAGCGTAACGGTTTAGCCAAGGTAACATAGAGTTAACCCCAGTGGAAGCGGATGTGACTGTGTGTACTGATGTGCTTCCGGCGGGGAAAAACATTTCAAATATATCCCCCTTTTCTAGTTTCTTCCTCATCTATTTCATTGCCACACAAAAGTATAGTGTAATTATGAGCATGAGTACTAGCGGCAAAGTTTGTAGGACTGGATGTGATATTTGCAGAATTCCATACTCTCAATCCAGTTCCGACTCCTCCCAGTAGAGCTGCAAATATGTCCCGTTTTTCCTGACTCCCTGCTTTGCCTAAAACACTGCGGCCGTTATTCCGGACACCTTGGAGGAATAGAAGGATTATTAAAATATAGACTCTAATCTTTTCCCTTATTTGGAGTATCTTCTGGCCGTATTGCCTGTCTAGCATCCCTACAGTGATACAGCTTATACTTATCCATCCTGTAACAAGGATCCACTACGATCTTCTGTTGACATACATCATCATCCTAATACAGCTTTGCCTTGCTCTGTGGGAACACTAGATCTCATCATTAGAAAGTTATAGCTAAATGGGAGACTGGAAGACTCAGAGAAAGAACAAAAGAAAAGAAAAAAAAAACATACATACATTTGTAGAGAGCAACAAAAAAGAGTTATTGATTGCTGGGACCCCCCAATTGATCAATATTTTCCTCCTCTCTCATCTGTTCCCTCAGCGCTTTCACATCTGCCTCCAATCTTTCAGTCTGTCTCTCTAGGTCCCAGTAGTCTCTATTCCCTTCTTTATTCCTCCAATTATCCCAATTCCGTCTATTGGTCTGATGCTCATCCCATCTATGGTTCCTTCTCCAATTATTCTCCCAATAACTATTCCTGTTGTTACTCAGTTTTTCTCCCCAATTATGATTTTCACAGTTAATATCTGTCCTTTTTAGCCTCTCCCAGGTATTTTTATTATTCAAATTATTATTGATTACCTTAGGCCCCTCCCATCTATTTCTCCAATTATCTCCCATTACATTACTTCATTTAGCACTGTCCCTATTCCTATGGTCCCTCTGTGGATCTCTCCATCTTTTGTCAAAGTCCTGTTTTGGTCTCCAGTTCTCATTATCCCTCTTGTTCTGGGGTACATCCCACCTCTGGCTTCTCCATTTACCATCTATATCTCTACCAGAGTCGACCTTGAATGTTCTTATGGCTGAAACAGAGAAGGCCTGTTCTGAGGAAGGTTGCTTGATGCACCAATTGTCAGCTCTAGTTAGTACCATTTCTAAGTCTGTTGGTGTTGGATCAAAAAGCCTCACAAATTCTTGACACTCCCAGGGAAGGGCTTCCATTACTTTAGCAATGTGTTCTGGTGAGCCCAAGACCAGAGGCTGTTGAGGTCGGCGTAGCGTATACCAGAACAATATCCTTTGAGCTACCTCTCTAGGACCATCTGCTGGCCTCATCGTAATATTAGCTATTTCTTTCTCTATGCTGAGTAGATAGAAATTCGTTGCAGCAATTCTTCCTGCCTGGTCAGACACACTGTTATTAAATCCAAATAGTCTGCTAGCCAAAGGACCCATAGCATATTCTAACAGTTCTGTCCATTCTTCTAAGCTAAGACCTCCTTTTTTTACTCTATTTGCTCCCCTCTTAAACCAATGTGTAAAGGTGTTAAAGTCGTCAGTTGGCATACTTCCCCACCATTTCTGGAAATTATCTTTGTCTGTGATTGACATAGTTCTTGTCTGTCTAGAGAAGCTAGTAGGCATTTCTCTTGCATTAAAATGTTCAGTTATTATTATAGGGGCTTTGGGACACAATTTACAATTGGCACATTTCCCTTGTGTTTTGTTCCCAGCACTGGTTCTTAACTTTCAGATACAAAATAAGACTGGTCTGGGCATACTCTAGAAATCTCCTTAACCCATTTATTTGTGTTTTCTTTAATTTTCGTTTTATATTCCATGACTAGGTCTTGGAGTTCAGTGATCTTAGCCCTATATGCATCTCTCTGTTGTTCTGTTTCTCTTAAAGGGCCACTCTAGGCACCCAGACCACTTCAGCTTAATGAAGTGGTCTGGGTGCCTGGTCCCTCTAAGGTTAACCCATTTTTTTTATAAACATAGCAGTTTCAGCGAAACTGCTGTGTTTATAAATGGGTTAATCCAGCCTCTAAAGCCTCTAGTGGCTGTCTCACTGACAGCCGCTAGAGGCGTTTGCATGCTTCTCACTGTGAAAATCACAGTGAGAAGCCGCCAGCGTCCATAGGAAAGAATTATGAATGCTTTCCTATGAGACTGGCTGAATGCGCGCGCAGCTCCTGCCGTGCATGCGCATTCAGCCGAAGAGGAGGATCGGAGACGGAGAGGAGGAGGAGAGCTCCCCGCCCAGCGCTGGAATAAAGGTAAGTTTAACCCCTTTCCTCACCATCCAGCCCGGCGGGAGGGGGTCCTTGAGGGTGGGGGCACCCTCAGGGCACTATAGTGCCAGGAAAACAAGTATGTTTTCCTGTCACTATAGTGGTCTTTTAAATCCTTTTCTAGTTCCCCAACAATTGTAGTTGTTCTCAAAGCTGCAATTTTTAAACAATCCCTTTTGTCCATTGCTTCCTCCATTTTATTTGTTGTTTCCAAATTATGCTGCTGTAATTCTACAACTATGTCTATTAGGCCTCCTATTCTGGCTACAACAGCTTGTGTGATCAAACCTTTTCTTTTCTTTGTTCTATACTTTTTGTTATTTACAATTTGTGTTAGTACATCCATTAATCTCTCCTCTTTTTCACTGTCTGGGTTTGCTGGCTCTGGAAACATAGAAACATAGAATGTGACGGCAGATAAGAACCATTCGGCCCATCTAGTCTGCCCAATTTTCTAAATACTTTGATTAGTCCCTGGCCTTATCTTATAGTTAGGATAGCCTTATGCCTATCCCACGCATGCTTAAACTCCTTTACTGTGTTAACCTCTACCACTTCAGCTGGAAGGCTATTCCATGCATCCACTACCCTCTCAGTAAAGTAATACTTCCTGATATTATTTTTAAACCTTTGTCCCTCTAATTTAAGACTATGTCCTCTTGTTGTGGTAGTTTTTCTTCTTTTAAATATAGTATCCTCCTTTACTGTGTTGATTCCCTTTATGTATTTAAATGTTTCTGTCATATCCCCCCTGTCTCGTCTTTCCTCCAAGCTATACATGTTAAGATCCTTTAACCTTTCCTGGTAAGTTTTATCCCGCAATCCATGAACCAGTTTAGTAGCCCTTCTCTGAACCCTTTCTAAGGTATCAATATCCTTCTGAAGATACGGTCTCCAGTACTGTGTACAATACTCCAAGTGAGGTCTCACCAGTGTTCTGTACAATGGCATGAGCACTTCCCTCTTTCTACTGCTAATACCTCTCCCTATACAACCAAGCATTCTGCTAGCATTTCCTGCTGCTCTATTACATTGTCTGCCTACCTTTAAGTCATCAGAAATAATCACCCCTAAATCCCTTTCCTCAGATGTTGAGGTTAGGACTCTATCAAATATTCTGTACTCTGCCCTTGGGTTTTTACGTCCAAGATGCATTATCTTGCACTTATCCACATTAAATGTCAGTTGCCACAACTCTGACCATTTTTCTAGTTTACCTAAATCATTTGTCATTTGGCTTATCCCTCCTGGAACATCAACCCTGTTACATATCTTAGTATCATCAGCAAAAAGACATACCTTACCATCAAGACCTTCTGCAATATCACTAATACAAATATTAAAGAGAATGGGTCCAAATACAGATCCCTGAGGTACCCCACTGGTGACAAGTCCAAGCTTTGAATATATTCCATTAAATACAACCCTCTGTTGCCTGTCACTCAGCCACTGCCTTACCCATTCAACAATATCGGAATCCAAACTATAAATGGGTTAATCCAGCCTCTATAGCCTCTAGTGGCTGTCATATGGACCATCATGTTTTTGAATATATTTCCTAAAGTACTCATGTACTTCTTCTGAAAAGTATTTGGCCCCTTGAAAAGACATTCCTACTCTTTTACTTACCCAAGTAAGAACCCAATTTAAATCAATTTGCAACTAAAGTATCACGCTTCTGAGTAGCCAACAATAGTTGATGTCTATTCAGTAGGCCAGGTGTAAATAGAAAAAACAAAAAAACAAAACTCAATTACCTTCGTATGCTAAACACAATGGGTGGAGAACACAATATCCACAACTCTACTGTGAAGCTTGACTAAGGATATGCTCTAAACACACGCCCAGTTTTGTTATATGTAGCAAAATAGACTAACACCCACAATGAAAATTATATTTACCTTGGTATGGTGAAGGTAATACTTGCTAATTAACTTCAAAACCAGTAGTGCCTACATTAGCATATTAAAATATAATAGCAAGGCCTGGAGGGTAGGAGTTATACACAAAAAAAGTATAAAGCATGGAAGCCTATAGAGTATTAAAATGCAGGCCCGAAATTAAAAAAAACCAAAATTTAAAAAAATTTCTCTAGGCCTGTACTATGATAGAATATTTGAAACAAACACAAAAAACCTTTATTATACCTTTGTTTTATGTAGCATAAAGCGTTAGAAACAATAATATGTTCAAAATTGAGGCCTATGCTGGTAGTGTATTAAAAAAATGAAGGACTGAAAAAAACTACTAGGCCTGAACTATGGTAATCAAATCAGCATTCAAATACAAAAAGAAGCAGCATGGAAGCCTATTATAATGCAGGGCTAGGCCTGTACTCTGATAGTCAAAACCCAATAAAACTCAACTCGGATATTTGAAACACACAAAAAACTGTAATAATATATTCAAAATTGAGGCCTGATGCCTAAGCTGGTATATTAAAATGGAGGCCTGAACTAAACTCCGAACACAATCAGCCTTTGATTTCCCATGCAGAGGATAATTAAACAAAGTACTCTTTTTTTTTTTTCCTCCCCCTCCCCTTTGTAGAAGTCTAAAATTCGTGGTCACCAAATGTGGTAAAATGATCAATTACCAAATTAATATATATATTACACAAGGTTCGTCTACATTAAAAGGTATTTATTAGAAGGCAACAACACAATACTATAAATGTATCACAAACACACAGCCCAGACCCACGGAGCAACAACCCTTTTTAAATCTATCTATCTATATAGTAATCCCCTTCCCCACACATTTGATCTCACCCACGGTTAGGCCTTCACATCTAGTAATGGCTCACTGCATCACGTCCCACCAAGGAAGAAAAGGATGCAACAGAGTGTAACATGGTTCACCATGCTAGCACATGGCGTCTGCACATCTGCTCTGCAGCACAGCCAAGAAGGAACAGAGAGGAATGGAGATAGGGGGAAGTGGTTATCTTTTTCCTGACTTGTAAAGGTTTTGAATTATCCAATTACCATATCAAAGGGTAAAGCTTATCACCCTGTAAGAAAGGCATACATGAGCTTGGTCACATGACCCCTGGTCACCATATTAGTTTGATGACAGAATGTCACCACAATAACCATGTGTTCCTCCGAGGCCGGTGCATTCATGCTTGATCTTGCACGTGGCTCCCCACTGGCCTTTATTGAAGAGCCAGCAAAATCCCTTTTTATGGAAGGCCGACAAGGTCCTGCATATAACCCAGATGGCCCAAGCATGAAAGGGCGACGCCTTCTGTGCCGTCATCAATTTTATCCAGAGGGGCATATCCATCTGGTCCCACCACATACCTGGATTTGCTGACAAACGCTCATCATGCTTCCACCAAGCTGACCCAACATAGGTATGCTATGATTTCCAAATTCCATCCATGTAACAGAATAACTGTGTACACTTCTCAGGGGTTTTTTCCCCCATCATGCCATATAGTATGCCAAAAGCTTTTAGTCAATACCGAAAGACTTCGGTATCTTCTAATACCTTTCTCTCCTCTGTACCTCCTCTTTTTGGAATCCTTTCTATCTTCGTATCTTATATGTATATACTCATCTAGTGGGACTAGTGAAAATATTTCAACATATTCCCCACGCCAAATCTTTACTCTTATGTCGGGCTCAATATGACAGCTTACTGGCCCTTCAAACGAAACATGCACATTCTGCTTAGCCGTATCTAGAATACAACCTGTCAATTTCATCCTCTTGGTTTCATCTGATACCAGCGAAGCTGTTCTTGCCATGGAGACTACGTCTGCCCCTTCGCACCTTTCCCCCTGCATAACACTAGCACCTGAACCGAGTCCCTCATCCCATAGATACCACACCTGACCAAAACCCTTATTCTGGCGCTCCCATGCACTCCAAGTATTAACTAGAGATTGTAAACTTTCAAGTAAGCCTCCCAATTGATGTGTATAATGAAACTCACCATCCAAACCTCCAATCGAAGAGATCCTTGGGGCTGTTGATAGTGCACCTGTGTCAGCGACTCGGGGCTCTGTAAAGCACCGCAGTTTTTTTTAACTGGTTTTCAAGGCATAAATTTAAAATTTAGAAAAAGAAAATATATTTTTTTCTAGAATACAATTAGTGTGCTGAAAGTATTTAACAGTTCATTCAGTAAACCTATTTTTGATTTCTGTTTAAAGGGCACCTGTCATGTCCTAAACAATACATGCTCATTAGATTTACTGATGAGATTTGCCCTGCTTGGGGATGCAAAAATTTTAAAGGGATAACTATAAGTGCCAGAAAGGGGGCAGGGCTGTAGTAGGGGGCTAGGGGCTGTAGTGGGGGGACAGGGGCTGTAGTAGGTTGATTGCTACAATTTGGCAAAGGGGCTGTGGTGTGGGTGATATGGGTTGCAATTTGGGGGAGAGCTGTAGTGGGGATGTTATGGGGGGCTGTGGGGGGCATGGGGCTGAGGAAGGGGACAGAAGACAGGAGGGACTGGAGCAGAGAGGAGGCAGGAGCTGAGAGGTGGGACAGGGGAGCTAAGAGGGGACAGGGCTGAAGGGGGGGGGGGCTAAAGAGGGGGACAGGGGCTGAAGAGGGGGGACAGGGGCTGAGTAAGGGGGACAGGGGCTGAGTAAGGGGCACAGGGGCTGAGGAAGGGTATAGGGGTTGAGTACGGGGGACAGGGGCAGAGGAAGGGGGACAGGGGTAGAGGGAGGGCTACAGGGCCTGAGGAAGGGGATAGGGTCTGAAGAAGGGGACAGGGCCTCCCACCCCAGCCTGCCCCTGCACCCATTGTACAGCACTACGGAACTTGTTGTTTATAAATATTCATAATATTGTGAGCATAAAAATACTAATTTGTGTACTTCTAGAATAAAGTAAATCACAGTGCTCTCTACTGGAACAGATGGAAACTACATTATAACATTTAGATTTCTGTTATATGCACTCTGCAAAGGATAGGCTGAATGTTTACTGCTACTAGCAAGGTATGCAACTGAGTTTGTAAAAGTATTACTAAGCAGATTCGCTTTACAGTCTGTGGAGGTCTCAAAAATCCCAGGATATTTTGTTACTCTATTTACTTGTCACAAAGACATTGCCTCAAAAGAAAAAAACATTTAAGGAAACTTAAAGTGGATCTGTTACTTCTCTGGAATTGAGATGTGTGGTTTTCTTTTACATCCATATTAAAGTTAGCAAATTAAATTAGGGTAAACTTCACAGATAAGAGGGTAAAATTTCATATATGGTTACATAGTTCCATAGCTCAAAAGAGACTTGCATCCATCAAGTTCAGCCTTCCTCACATTAGTTTTTTTGCTGTTGATCCAAAAGAAGACAAAAAAAACCTAGTTTGAAGCACAATTTTGCAACAAACTAGGAAAAAAATTCCTTCTTGACCCCAGAATGGCAGTCAGATTTATCCTTGGATCAAGCAGTTATTACGCTACATTGAAAGATTATATCCTTGAATATTCTGTTTTTGCAAGTATGCATCTAGTAGCTGTTTGAACATCTGTATGGACTCTGATAAAACCACTTCTTCAGGCAGAGAATTCCACATCATTATTGTTCTCACAGTAAAAAAAACTTTTCTTTGCCTTAGACAAAATCTTCTCTCTTCCAGTGTAAACGCATAAACTCGTGTCCTATGTAAAGTCCGGTTTGTGAATAGATTTCCACACAATGGTTTGTATTGGGTCCCCGAAATATTTATCTAATTAAATAAATAACGAATGGGGGGTAGACATGCTAGTGTCCACTGCCCAAATTATGGCAAGCCACTATAAAACGATTTTATATATGCCATAATATCAACCTCAAATAGCTCACCCAGAACATATACTAACTGAAAAACAATTTTATCCTTCCTCTTTTAAGTCTAGTGGTCTTGACACATTCAAGACATAGATTTGATAAATACAACCTCACAAAAGAATAAAATCTGCTATGGAGAATCTTAAAAATAATTAAGTATTGTGATAAAACCTGCAGATAAACGTAGAGGTTTGGTTATTTCAGCAGGAGAGATGTACATGAAAGAAGCATATTCACAACTCAATAACAATTTAGCATATGAGTAACTTTTATCAGACCCCACCCCTCACATAAAAAGTATTTTAGGTGTTTAGACAAAAGAAAAGAACAGCAGATTATAACAAAGATGAGTATATGTATATAATCATCATTCATCCTACTATACCAGTTATTTATTTTTACCTACAATTCACAAAAATTAAAACAGTCCCCCAGGCTGTCCGATTATCTCTGGTATCGTCTTTAGGCCTACTTTTGACCCTGTAAATTTCCGAAATCACATAAATCCTGTACATGGGG